CCCTCCGCCACTCGCTGCGGGGCACTAACGACATGGAAATCCTGGATCGTCCTCGTCCTCTTCCTCCACCTCCTGTTCCTCCTCTTCCTCCTCTTCCTCCTATTCCTCTTCCTCCTCCTCCTCCGCATCATCATCGTCATCATCATCATCACCATCATCATCATCATCACTGTCATCATCCTCATCATCATCATCATACGCATCATCACCACCACCACGACCATCACTATCAAAATCACCATCACCGTCACCATCACCATCACCATTACCATCACCACTACCATCACCACCGTCACCTCCACCACCACCATCACCATCATCATCATCACCACCACCACCACTACCATCACCATCACCATCACCATCGCCATCACCGTCACCGTCGTCGTCTCGTCTTGTCGTCATAGTTGTCCACCATCACAATCACCATCGTCATCACCCCCATAATAATAATCGTCATCATCGCCATCATCATCGGCATCCTCATCATCATCCTCGTCCTCATCCTCATCCTCATCATCATCCTCATCCTCCTCATCATCATCGTCGTCGTCATCATCATCGGAGAGAGCGTGATCCACCGCCGCTTTACTGTGGAAAATTGTCCCCCTTTTCCTCCGGAGCCCGGGCCCCCCCCCCCCTTCCGAAAATCCCCCCCCCCTTGCTGGACCCCCCCCGTCGCCTTCCCCGGCAACCCCCCCCCCCCTCCCCTAACCCCTCCCCCCCCCCTCCCCCTCGAAAACCGGAGGGGGTCACTATCGGTTCGACCCCCACCCCCACCCCCACCCGTGGGGGTGAGATTTCAGAGTATGTGGCGTGCGCTGTTGTCTCGCGCCGAAACGTTTTTTTCCTGCGCGGCACGGCGCGAGCTTGCTCGCGTGCACGGTTGCGGCGCGCGCATTCGGAAATGTCAGGTCTAGCAGTAGTGGCCGTATTTGCACTCATGTAATTACTACTATAATACTTAGGTCATGCTCGCGCGTTCGCTCACTGTCCTACACCTCCTCCTGACCTTACGTATACAACAGCGTCGTACGCTTATTTCTAATAGGTGATCTGCTGATGCTACTTCTGCTCCAGCTGCGCGACGAATCCGCGGCGCCGTTGGCGCCCGCCCGCGCGCGTCGTTTTCGCACCGAGACCCCGCCGCCAACGCGCCCGCCACAGATTGCTGCGCGCACAGAGCCAGCAAATTACTGCCTGAGCACAGGGGCAAGACAGTGCCCCTTAACAGATTCCTAGAATGACACAGACCTACTCTGCTCACTGATCCGTCAGCCGAAGCGCACGGCGTTCAGGCGAGATATGGCGGCGTCCACGCCGGTGTGGAAGTTGCCGCAACGGATGCACATCGCGCTCAGCATCGAGTCCTGCGCTACGCTGGGGCCGTTCTTGTTCCGCGTTCCAGGTCAGCGTTTTCTTTCTGTTTTGGGCACCGTTTCTGGCACGTGCTCAACCTGGGGGTTGGCCTGTCGCCCACCTGCTCATTTGATGTCTGTTTCCAATACGTGCTGCATTGTGTTTGTTATATCACAATGCCGCCTGCGCGGCGCCCACATGCCGGGGCGTCGTTTTTAGGGCGCGCCGGTCGAGTCAAGAACGAGAAATGGAAGGGGGGAAACAGGGGGGGATGAAGGACAAAAAAACAAAACAAAAACCTCCGTAGCAACAACTAAGTTCCCGCGCGCGCAGGAGGCGCAACTTGACCACCGCGCGAGCCAAGTCACTCTCGATGTATACTTCGTCGACCGGGCACTCAGCCTCGATGGCCAGGCGCCCGCGCATGAAGCGGGGCTAGTCCTTGGCAGGGCCCCCGAAACTACAAAAACGGATTTAGGCACGACGTGCCTAGATCCGTTCCTGTCTTTTCCCTTGTGAAATCGTCGATCGGAGCCGCGCGCCAAGACGCATGGCGAGTCTCGAATCGCTCGTCGAACATGCGACTCGATGGGAACCAGGTGCCGCGCACCACGCGGCATCGCCGACGCACGGCGCGCGATCTGGCGGGCGGATCGGCAAAACCTCCAAAAGAAAAACCGGGCCCTCTAAGCCTCCTGCGCATGGAAGCACGGGGTCATTACTGGCGGTAGAGTTCGAGGTCGTTCGTGAATGCATCCGCATCGTTGATGTAATGCCGATACAAATAAACGTTGAAGATAAGCGCGGGGGTGAGTTTTTGGGGAGCTCCTTTCAGATACTTCGATCCCTTATCCCAAGCTCTGATAACATTGTTGTTCTTGTAGAGGTAGAACGACCGGGGGTTGTCTGCGCCGAATTCCCCAATCCGCCTCTCCACCGCCGCCGTTGCGTCACGGACGTTAATCATCTCGTCGTCGTCGTAAGAAGAATCCAAGAACGAAGCTGGAAAGGAACTACCTGCGGACACAATCGCGCATGCTACAAGCTCTTTTTCCTACTACTACCACTACTATTGATACAAATAATGCTATTACTATTGCCAGTACTACGCGATTGCACCCCAAAGCCTTTGAAGAACCCCAGGAGCAAACGGAGGCCCACGTAGGTGAAGAACCGGACGAGGGGCCTTGTAGCAAACACGCTGTTGCGGTGGTGCTTCCGCGCTTTGTTGTCGAAGCCGACCTGGCGAATACCGCGGCCACGAGAAATCCAAAAAAGCGCCATGCTGTAAGCAAAAAGCCTGCTTTGCAATAACACAATCTGGTTTGAGATAAAACGGCAACCAAATGCTTTACGTCTTACCACAGCCGCCAAGATCAACCTCAGAGTTCAGATACAAAATGCAACCGGCACTGCGTCAAAGCGCCTCCGTCCTCTTCTCAACCTCATCCTGCCCCTCTTCTTCCTCGTCGTCGTCGTCCTCCTCCCCCTCCTCATCCTCATCATCACCATCATCATCGTCATCCCTCCTACTCCAAATCTTCCTCCCCCTCCTCCTCCTCCTCCTCCTCCTCCTCCTCCTCATCATCATCATCATCATCATCATCGTCACTCCCCCTCATCATCACCATCATCATCATCATCATCATCATCATCATCATCATCATCATCATCATCATCATCATCATCATCACCATCATCATCATCGTCATCCCTCCTCCCCATCCCCCCCCTCATCCCCTTCATCCTCCTCCTCCCCATCCCCCTTCTCATCACCAGAATCATCATCATCATCATCATCATCATCATCATCATCATCAACATCAACATCGTCATCATCATCACCTCGCCTCCTACTCCTGATCCTCATCGTCGTCGTCGTCATCATCATCAGTACTCATCCTCCCTATTTTCATGATCATCATCATCCTTGCCATCATCAGCGCTCTTCCTCCTCATCCTCCTCATCGTCACCATCATCATCATTTGTCCTCGTCCTCGTTCTCGTCATCATCACCATCATCACCATCATCCCTCATCATCATCCGTCCTCCTCCTCCTCACCATCCCCCTTCCCATCATCATCATCATCATCATCATCATCATCATCATCATCATCATCATCATCATCATCATCATCATCATCATCATTGTCATCATCATCATCATCATCATCATCATCATCGTCATCATCCTCGTCATCCTCAGCATCAGCATCATCAGCATCATAACGCCGCCTCATCCCCCTCCTCCTCCGCATCGTCATCATCATGTATCCTCCTCGTCCTCCTCCTCCTCCTCCTCCTCCTCCACATCATCATCATCATCATCATCATCATCATCATCATCATCATCATCATCATCATCATCATCATCATCGCCATCATCATGTTCGCCCTTCATCCTCGTCCTCTGCCTCGTCGTCACCATCATCATCATCATCATCATCATCATCATCGTCATCATCCCTTCTCGTCATCGCCCTCGCCCTCGTCATCATTTCATTCATCATCATCGTCATCATCATCATCATCGTCATCATCGTCATCATAATCCTAATCGTCATCACCGTCGTCATCCTCACCATCATCATCGTCTCTCCTCCTCCTCCTCCTCCTCCTCCTCCTCCTCCTCCTCCCCCTCCGCCTCTTCGCTTCCCAGGTCAGGACGGAGGGGGAGGAGAAGGGATAAGTAGTGGAGAGGAGGGGGCCGGTACAATGAGAAATAATTAAAGGCCTCCACAATGAAAATCAATAAGAACACCCTACAATCAAAAACAATACGAAATCCATACACTCAAAAACAATAAGAAACCCATACAACCAAAAACAATAAGAAACCCATACAATCAGAAACAATCAGAAACCTGTAAAACCAAAAACAATAAGAAAACCACGCAATCAAAAACAATAACAAATCCATACCATCAAAAACAATAAGAAATCGGTACAATCAAAAACAATAACAAATCCATACAATCAAAAACAATAAGAAATCCCTACAATCAAAAACAAAAAGAAATCCGTACAATCAAAAACAATAAGACACCCATACAATCAAAAACAATCAGAAAACGTCTTGGGTCCACGAACCCTGCGAGGATACCCAAAAAAAAAAACGAAAAAACAAAAAAAACTGTGAGGGTACCAAAAAAAAAAACGAAAAAAAAAAAAAAAAAATGGTTTTCGTGCCTTCAGGCTGCCTGGGCGGATCTGGGCTGGAGGGGCCTGGAGGAAGCCCGAAAATATGAAAACCATTGATTTTTGGTTTTTTGGGTACCCTCACAAGTTTTTTTGTTTTTTGGGGTTGTTTTTGGGTTTTTTTGGTACCCTCACAGGGTTCGTGGACCCAAGACGTTTTCTGATTGTTTTTGAGTGTATGGATATCATATTGTTTTTGATTGTACGAATTTGCTATTGTTTTGGATTGTCTGGATGTGTTATTGTTTTTGATTGTATGGGTTTCTTTTGATTGTACGGATGTCTTACTGTTATGATTGCGCGGAAAAGAAAGGAAATGTGGAGGAGGATGATGAATACGAGAAGGAACATGCGGAGGGGGAGGAACAATATCATGATGGTGATGATGATGGTGATGATGATGGTGATGATGATGATGAGAAAAGCCTCACGCCACAGACT